GGAGAAGTGGTGCCTCGATGCGCACCCGGGATCCGAACCCGGGCCACCAGCATCGCAGCGCGCGCACTTAACCACCAAGCCACAGGGCCGGCCCAACAACCAACAGTTCTGATAGTTTTAACGTAAATGACTTTAAAAATGTCTGTGTATACTGGGGCGAGTAAGCTTAAATTCACAGAACTTATTCTAACATAATAACAAGGCATTCAACTTACTTTAATGGTAACTTTAACTGACATCATGACAAGGTGAGTGCATTCTTCTGTCCAATTATTTACAGTAAGTCCTCCAAGTTGCAATACAGCTTGATTTAAAGCATTTTTCCCAGAGACATCTAAACAAGAAGAGCATGCAACCAAAGGCTCATACTCTACTCTGTAAATGAGAATAAGTTACATAAAGTTATATTATCATAATTACAGAGATGGCAACTTACAGTACTTTAAGTTTATATCACATGCTGTTATTTTAATTGTTATGTATTATGAAACTTTCTAACTTATGAAATTTTCACTTCCTAAGTCTTGAATTGAAATTAAGAAAACCCAACGATTAAAGTTAACATTATATTTTCACCTACAGTGAATCAAACAAACATAGCTCAACGTTCTCAGGGCCCACTCAAACTCATTCCCTCTCGACACTATCTATGATTGACGAAATGCACTAACTACACATGCTAAGTAAGAACTGAATTAGACTGTTTTCAATTCCTGATCCATAAATATCCTTGTCTTTTAGGATTTGATAAGTGTGAAATAAAGCTGTTCATTTTTAATATCAATTAAAAAAACTTCTTACCTGAATTTACTTTCAAACACTCCAAAAGTGACTCTATCCCCTGTCTTCAAAGTTTGGGAAAGGCCATTCTGCATTTTTACCTCATTAACAAAGGTACCATACTTAGAATTATCTTTTATCGTCAATATAGGGATTTCATCTGTTTGACTCTGAAAAAAAAAGTCAGTAAATAATTTAAAGTCTTTTACCACTCAGCAAATACAATTCCCAGGCGACAAAGTTTCAAAAGAACAGGCTGACAACTGTTTGAATAGGCAATAGATAGGTGGCTAACCTCCCGACACAGCAGGCAATACAGTTATTGTTTTGGTTGCCTGCAGAGAACAATCACTCAACTAGCAATTAATGGAAATTTTCTTAATTCCAGGATCACTCCTCCTAGAACATACATTTTCTTGAGTTTTATAAGTCAGTGGAGATTTTCCTGACCCCTCAATTTCACACATTTGCTAATCCTTGCTTATGTACAGTCTGTTTCATGTATAACATGACAGCTTCTGCTAAGGTTTTTTTTTACATTATCAAAATCACATCGCAAAAACTGGTCCAATGACAAAAGGTTAGTGTGTCTGACTTGCAGTAAGAATTTTATTTTTTCTTTAGGAATTTCAACAATGTTTTTTCTGTACCTCAAAGAATAGAGACAAAACCTAAATATCACTGAAGAGATCCAGCATCTGCTGATATGCAGTCTTTGCTCAAAATAATGGCTTTTCTTTCTTATTACCACCAGCGTCATCACGACCACAGCCATTTGTATATATTTGTATTACTTTTATCACCCAAGGTTGTGATTAAAACAACCAACCAACCAACCAAGCAAAACAAACTCAAAGTCATCCAAAAGAGCTGTGAGGCATAAGCAACAGCAGTTTTCCCTAATAAAACAAATCAATTCCCATTATGAAAACCTACCTTATACAGGAAATACCTGTGTTCACAGGGCTACACAAATGCTTTAAAGCCCGAGTCATGACAGTTTATTCATTGCTCTATCCCCAGGCTTGGCACAGTGACATTGGTAGGCACTCAATAAATGTTTAAGTAAATAAATTTAAATATGTTCTACTTCCTCTGAGTTTCTAAATTACTGAAACAAACAGTGAAATACTGGAACAGAAACTTCAAATTTCAAAATAAACAAATACCACTGGTACCAAAGCCAAAATGTAAGTATTTAATTGTGTTAACATTAAAAATAAACTTAACAGCTTTACGAAATAAAAAGTCCTATGAAATCCTCTTACATGTGCACCAAGGTAATCTTTTGTGATTTCAACCCCCTTACTGTAAGCTAGTGAAATAAAATTAGTAACATACCAGGTTGGTTACAGAAAAGTTAGCAGTTAACACAGCATGATTTCGACTGATTGACTGATCATCTTCAATTAGAATGCCACAGTTTTTCCTTCCAACAATGTACTCAACACCAGTCAAAAGTCTGTATGGTTCTAACAGAATTAAAAAAAAAAAAGTAAATTAGTAAATACATAGACATGTGTATAGACATAAACAACATGTATATATGATACAAGTTTGGCAAATATTTAAATATTTTTATTTTCCTATTTAAACGTTAATAATCGACTTCATATAAATCAAACATGTTTTCTAGTAAAGCCTCACTGAAGGATGCAAAAGATTATCTAAATAGATGGAAAGCTCTACCATTTTTCTAAACAGAAAACAATATCGAAAAGTGTCAACACTCCCAAATTAACTTATACATTTAATGCATTACCAAACAAAATCACAATACTATGTTTGGAACTTGATAAACGGATTCAAAAACCCATCAGGGAAAATATAATGTAAAAAAATTGTCAAGAAAAATTTGAATGTTATGAGATCTTCCCCTACTAGACAGTAAAATATGCGCTAAAGCTATAGTAACTAAAAAGTACGGTACTGGATCAGAAGTAAACAACATAGATCAAGGCCAGAAAAGTTCAGACCAGATTCAAGTGTATATCTGGGGCAATTTTATTTTTATGTTAAAGGTGGCATTTCTAATCAGTGGGAACGGGTTACTAGTTTAAACAAAAGGTTGGAAATTACAAATTGTCGGGAGTAACAGCACGTATGTTGAAGGCTTTAGAGTTTAGTCCGGGAACACAGGACTCCGCCACCGGAGGGGCAGAGCGGTTAGGGCAGATAACAGACCAGGTGGAAGGAGTCCAGCTAAGCCCTGCCCAGGTTTGGATTATATTTTGTTAATCAGAGATTCTTAACCCAGAGTGAAGTGTTTCAAGTGCCACTCGCGTACGGTGTACTCACAGTTCTAGAGGAGCGGCCAGGGCTGCCACGCGCTGCCGGGGGCGGCAGCACCGGCGCCGCGGCCGTGTGCGGCCCCGAGCGCCAGCCGCAGGCCTCAGCCCCTCCCGAGGACCCGAGGGCCCGCGCCCGCCCACCGCTGCGCTCCCCGGGCGCTGCTGCAGACCCACGGCGACGCCTCGATCCTCCAGCCTTTCCAGCATGAGCTGCAACTCACAACACCGTTGTAGCATTTACTGTCCGCGGCCCTCTTCAGACTCCCTTCCACTGCCAGTCAATTTCGCCTCTACACAGACCTTTTTCCAATCATAACGTCAACCCTCCGAGGGCAAGACCGAAACCCGGGCTGCCCCTGCTGATCCGTCTGTCAACTAACAAGGACTCACACACACCAGGCAACCAATCAACACGCGAGAACCATTTTCCACGGCTGGAAATGCAGCAAAGAAAAGACACCTATCCTCCCAGTTGTTCTGACGACAAAATGGAGACAGGCGCTGAGATGACGCTTTCGCGTGCTGCCACCTCCCCGCCACTCTGCGCTCTCCACGAGCACACACAGCGCTCTCGAGAGAGTCGTCCGCGGCGCCGGTGCGCTCTCGCCGGCGCCAGCCCGCGCCGGCCGTTCCCCGAAAGCACACACCCGGCCGCCTCCTCGGGGGCCGGCCCCGCTCACCACGCAGGCCG